ATGGCGTGGAGACTAACATGTGTACTATATGGTACTCAATCTGCAACGAGGAGACAACGAGTTACGGAGTCACTGAGGCTGTTTATTTGGGTTAACCCAAATAGCAAGGATGTCCTTGAACAGTAAAGAGAGGGTACTTATACTCCGTGCAGCGATGTGGCAGTCACAGAACAAATATAAAACATGGTTTTCAAAATGACGTGAACACCCAATGAATATGGATAACATACCCGGTTATAAATCAGGCTATATATTAGCGGCCATTTTTCCTGGAGTTATTCATATTTAAGTGTGACCCTTCCTGAAATTTTATGTTACTTTGTGGATGTGCAATGACGGTAAATTGTCACTCATTAAATTAAATTGTTCGGCGGACGATATTTTTCGTTTACACACAGTCCATCTATATAGATAGATAGAGGGACTGTGGTTCACACTAGATAAAGCGTCAATCCAGTAAGAATGTTTATGACCAGTCTTTGTTACTGTAATGTCCGTATAAATATATACCGCATTGAATAGAATTGTCCGCCTCTCTGGCTTTAGCATGGGGCGAAGTGACATTAAAGTTTTTGGGAAGTTAGCTTTGATATTTATTGGTTTGGAAGTGGCATAATCGTCATAAGTGTGCGTGTGCGATTTCATGTATTCTAATACTCGGTGTTGTCTTGATTTTTGGTTTGTTGTTAGCTACATCAGATGGTCCATTTAAACGCGATATGACAGCAATTATATCGCGGCCAATGAATAATATGTTATGGAATATGTGTGTTTAGCAGCCGCTCCATTGTTTTAACTTTGTTGTTAGTTGCGAGACTCGCATAACGCATGCGCAGTCATGATATCGTGCAGTATTAACCCACCATGATTATAACCCACCACTTTTATACCTTAAATTACTCACAATTGACCATAACATCTCACATATATAATATTCGGTTCTGGGATAAATAATGGCCGCCAGTCGGTCATCAAGTAAATTTATGTTCATCTAATAACAGAACTTCTGTGCAATGACCTGTTTTTTGATAACGAGACAGAGAGATAAAATTGAACGGAATAGAATTCTGGCAGTTGGCATTGAGCAGTTACTAGTAAGCCCGAACTCATAGCAAATGTATTTACTAATAATAAATTAAATTTACAATGAAAGAAAACAGCGCAATCCAGAGTTGAACAGCTTTTCCTTAATAAAAGGTATAGTGTTATGAATCACCGCGGCGTATACTGCATCGTGCTGGGAACTCAATTTCAGCAGGATTCAGTTAATATATGGCTAGCTAAGGTTCATGACTTTGGTACGATAGTTGAGTACACTTTTAACGAGAACACCTGGCATATGTTCTTATCTAATCGTATTAATTATTATTACAGGGGCAAGGGGCAAGAGGGAGTCAATAATGTACGATAAACTTGGTGTCAATACTTGTCACAATATATTTCATCAATGTTTCATTGTATGAAACTCTATTTACTTATAGTCGTCCGATTTGTCTGAATGGTGTTACAAGAACTGTACGCTTCGGGGATGTCCGTCACAACTATTCTGCTCGATACATACACATAGCAAATATTTTCGGGTCACATTTGTGTGTAATATTATACGTTTCTTTTATCAAATAATATACAAATTGCAAGTATTTTATTCGCACACAGCTGTCGCATATTACTTAGGTGTCGGGTATGCATATCACGTTGAGTTATGCAGGCCACATAAT